TTTTGAATTTCTGCTATTTTACTTATTGACCCTGGAAGAATTTCTATTAAAAGTTAGATAGTTAAGAGATTGGTTTCTGTGCCCCTGCGGCCGCCATCTTTCTTTCCAGAGAGGAGCGGGCGGGCTGGTCAACACCCTTCCCCCTCCGGGCAGGCTTGGTGGCGCTGTTTAACACATTGTCCTGTTGCTTTTCTGCTCCAAGCGGCTGGTTCTCTGTGCTAAGTCCTTGTGCCTCCGGGGCCGTGGCCGTGCCGGAGAGTCGCTCGTGGGGGGCAGCCGGCGACCTCGGTGGGGCGTGGGGGATGGCCCACAAAGCCCCCCTTCCCATGAGGTCCCCGCCGCTCCCGCCGAGCCCGTCTCAAACCGGCTGTCCACAAGGCTCCCGTGCGGCCGCCATCTTTCTTTCCAGAGAGGAGCAGGCGGGGAAGTATGGAGATTCTTAAAGTCAGACTGGATCTTTTCCTCTCCTATGCTCCATAACCCTTTAGAAATAACAGAGAATATCCCAAAAGTGAACAGAATACTCTGTTGATAGATAGATGTTAGAAAACTCTGTCCTGATACCCAGCCGGTCTATAAACAATAGATAGTTATAGGTTTTTTTGCTTCAGGAGAAAATAAAATTTTCATAGGAAACAGAAAGATTTAACTTTATCATTGATAGGATTCCTGCATATATTGCACAGAGTATTTCCTCCCACTGTCCAAGGTGCATAAGATAAGGGAAGAAAAATTTTCTCTGCGAGTTCAAATTTAATATCCACACATAGAGATCAGGGAAGAGGTTGAAAGGGATTTCTGAAAAAGTCAATATGCCCCTCCCCATGGAAAGGTAAATTTTAATTATAATATGGCAGATTACTTCAGTATTTTCACAAAAGTCTAAGTATTTCTTCTGAGGTGCAATCTACCCTGCAGATAGTTGAGACTAATAGTCTGAGTTTCCATGTACATGGTCTTTCATCATTCTCTGCTCATCCGTACGGGTCCGTGAGCCTGAAGGATATAAATCCACTGGAGTGGTCCGGTTCTTAATGTGGACAAAGATTAGTTTAAGAAAATGGAATTTTTGAGAACAAATTTCATTTTGTGAAAGTGGTAAGCTTACATTTCAAATAGAAAGGTACTTTGAGATATTTGAAACTTTCACCCCAGTCAAGCATGAATGTATGTAAGGAGGATATTCTCGGCTTCAGCAGCTGGGGTATCAGGAACCCTATACAACAACTGCTGAACAGTGAAAGGAATTGGAGGCAAATTCTCATAATGTAGACATTCAGAAGGCTAAAAACAAGTAATCTGTGATTTGTTTATTTCATCTTGTTTTATGATATTAAAAACGTTTTGTTCCATGTAATTTAATTTTTAAAAAGAAATAATGAATTCCTATGTGGCAAGGAAAAACATTGTTGTAATTGCATGTTATTTCTATATACCTGAGTTCTATGATGAAACATGTTCAAAAAATAATATCAAATTCTTATCTTTCATTTTATTCTTTCTCCTTTATGTACAATTTCAATGTCTTGTATTCACCATCCTCTTCCCTCAGTTTTGTCACAATTTACTGGCACTTTTCTGAAGAAAAAACTGTTTTATTAGAGTCTATCAATTTGACAATAATTATTATTTAACAGAGTACCCAAGTCCACTAAAAAATAGACAATTATTAAATACATGTGGACTTCTTCCACCTTCAGAGTATTCAAGCTGAAATAAAAAACTTGATCTCCTAAACGACCCTGAATAATTGTCAATATTATTAACTTCATTATCGCCTTTAGAAACTGAGGTTCATCTGCTGACCATGGCCTAAGCTATTTACACCACTATCTTCTTTCCAGGGAAATACTGTACAAGGAAAAGATAATCATCTAAAACTAGATTATAGATAATAATGTGTTAATTCCAATGACCAATATCATATTTACTACATATGTGGCAGCTTGTATGTATTACCAATCAGGCTTGTCATTTAATACCATAACTTTACTAGAAAGTGTCAATAGAAAGCCAGTGTGTGTTATCTCAAAGGAAAAGGCTAGAGCTGATGCTTTTTGTGCAGAGTTTCAACCACAGAACAAAGTTTTTCCCCTAAGAACCATCTGATGTAGTGCTGGGACTGTGAACATTGCCAGGTATAGCTTTGGTGTCCTTTCTGTTAAATCAGACCTCTGGGCCCGTGTTTTTTGTTTGTGTGTTTGTTTGTTTGTTTGTTGTTTGTTTGTTTTTTTATGTAGGAGTACTTCTATTTATTCAGCCACTGATTAGCTGATTGAATTGGGCATGAACTCCACTGGACCCGTTATTGATGCGCAGTGACACACAGACCATAGAAGAACTCTGGGAAGACAACTCCAAAAATGGAAGTGTTGGAGGAACATAAATACAGTGCCTAAGGGGGAATGTTATTATTCAATTTTAAATGTTTCAATATCAAGCTGTGGTAATTTTCTTTTTTGATTTTGGCCACACCTGACTGCATTCAAGGTTCACCTCTCTAGTTCTCAACGGAATATATGGGTGTCAGGTATAGAATCCGGGTTGGACATGTACTAGACAAGCATCTTCCTTGCTCTACTATCTCTGAGGTCTCACAGAACAAGCCTTTAAGTAATTTTTCAAAAACATTTTCTCCCTTTATCATGGACAATATGTTAAGGTGAATCAATTTTCTATTTTCAAAATGGGATCATTATCCTGCTGCATAAACCTAATGCAACGTATATACTCCTCTATGAATATATAACAATGCTCTTTAATTCTGCACTACTGTCATACAAAGGCTTTCTGAAACTTTCTCCAAAACATTGTGTTGTTCTGCTATAGGACAAGTGCTTTACATAAATGAATGTCCTTAAAGATTATGGCAACATCCTGGGTTGTTGTCATGCAGTTTCTATGAACTGCCTCTGGTTTCATGTGTTTGTGTGATGGACCCCAGTATTTGAGCTTATCTTGAATATCTCAGACCAGGTACAAGAATTCATCATTCTTATCCTAGGTCTCAGGAGTGCCCTCTTCACTCCAGGATCCAGCAGGAGCACCCACTATGAAAAGGCAAGTGAGACACCGACACCGGCCCTTCTTGGAATGTGTGATTCCTTTCTTTTACTTTACAGGGTACCATCAGCTCTCTCCTCTCTGGAGAAACCCGAATCCTCTCCTCTGCACTTCTTTGTCTCCCCTACTCAATATCCTACGGTTATAAGGAAGGTGGAGGGAGAAAAAGAGAGGCACCAGGATGTCTGGTCATTTAGCTGATTATTTTCAAACTTGCCAAAATGAGGAACAGACAAATAATGGAAATAGCTATGGGATAGAGATAGAAAACATAAGAAGGGTTTCAGGAGAGGAACTTTCTCTTTGATCCTTCAGCTAGGCCTGGCAGACAGCAGGAAATGCACTCTGCCTTCTTCCTTTAGGCATCCCTGAAAATTCTAAAGCAATTTCAGTTTATTCTTTTATGTCAAGTTCAGAATAGCTTTATATAAGTTGACAGAGGAAGCAGGAAGAATCAAACAGGTCAGTGTCCTTGGTGGACCCCCTGCGATTCCCAGCCCCTTGCCTGAGCAAAGACTCAGTTTACATTTCCATGTGAATAGGAAATATTCTGGGCCAGCCATTGTGATCCTTGAGGCCAAAACAACTTAAACAACTTAAGGCTGAAGAGATTGTACAGTGGGTTAGTGGTCTGCCCTTTAAGCAGCCCAGCAGACTTTGATCCCCAGCTTCATATATGTGTCCCCAATCAGTGACAGCTTGATCCCTGATGCAATCCAGGAAAACAACTTCATATGGGCCTAACTCTACCACCACACATCCCACCACCAAGAGGGAAAAAATATTCTGCATCTGTATCTCTTCCTCTTATTTATTCACCCTATTTCTATAACTGTTGGGTTTTAACCCTCAGTGTTTTGGGGCTTCATCAATGAATTGCCACGTTTCCTCCCCCAGAGAAGCTTGCAGTGCTCTTGTGAACATCCCTGAGTAACTTTAACCTCTCTTTTGGATTACCCCTGAGTAACTTTAACCTCTCTTTTGTCTTAGTAACTAAGTGAAAGTTTCTGATGATTCTGGACTTTGTATTGGAAGTGAATGATTTGCTTTTCTATTTCCATTCTACTATAGAGTAATGTTCTTCACTTAACCACAAAAAGTGGTTTAATGCTATGCTTCTAATATAGGGGAGTTAGTTGACTCATATATTTACTCCTGGCCATCATTATAATTACTGACTCAGGCATTGCTTACCACAGTTCCTAACACTGCACAAAGGGAGATCCCATGAAGGGACTTAGATGAAACTAAGGGGAGCATAAAGGTATACCAACATTGAAATAGGACAGTCCAGAATGCACAAAGCACAGTCTCGGTGCAGACCAATGTGACAAGAATTAGGACCCACAGGAGGAAGAACAAGCTGATCCAGCCTGAGGACCTAGTCCGAAATTTATTTACAGCCCAGTGGACTTGCCCTTGGAGCCAGAGAATTAAGTTTTGAAATCTATATCTCTTATGTTTATCCAAATAAATGCAAGTAGTAATAAGAAGTAAACTCAATTGTTTAATATGTATAATTAAAGAGAAAGGAAAAGGCAATATAGATGTCTCTTGGAGACAGAATGTCTTGAGTTAAACCTCCCCCCAAAATTACCTCACTGAAACGTTTTCACTTTGTATATCATGAGTCACACCTACGTGCTGTCCTATACCTCTATCACCCTTCAGATGTTCTATGAGTACGCTCACAGCTCTGCATTAAAGGGGCCTCTTTGACCATCAATTGGTGGTCCCCTATCTCTTAGTTCCTCTGCTGGAGAGAGCTGGGGGTTGGCTCTTGGCTACCAAAATTGTGAACTCACAGGTATATAAATTAGAAATTGAATACAAATAGTTTTTTCTGTTTATGCTCCACTTTCATTCAGAGTGTGTTTGAGCGAGCTCTTTTACTTGAGAATAATGCTACTCGTTCTTTCCATAAATGCACACTTTGAGTATTTTTTTCTTTATTGAATTACCTTAAGATACACAATTACAAAGTTGTTCATAGTTGGGTTTCATTCATACAATATTTAAACACCCATCATTCATCACTGTATGTTTCCTACCTCTAATGCTCCCAGTTTTCATCCTGCCATAACCCACCCCCACTCCATTCCTCTGCAGCAGGTAATTATACTTTTATTCTCTCTTTCTCTGTCTGTCTGTTTCTCTCTGTCTATCTGTCTGTCTGTCTCTCTCTCTATCTCCTTTCGGGCATTATGGTTTGCAATACTGAAAGGTTATCAGTATGCATTTGCACTATTTGTATGTCAGTGATGATCTTCAATAATCAAGTCACAGTGGTCTCTTCTCTGTCCTAACATCTCCCCCAACCCCTCACTCCCACAAACACTTCTGGCAAGCTTCCAACGATAAACCAGTCTGCTAGGAATTCATTCCTCTTGCCCTTGGGTATTTGAGCCATATGTTTTTGTTATATACCACAAGTGACTACAATTTGTTTCTTAATTGAATACTTGCTCTCTAATAAACTCTATATTCTTTATTTCTTTGACCTCAGTTTATATTTACTCATGTGGGATATATAAACCTCTCCTAGGATCTGGGATTAACCGCTGTAGTCCTGACAGTATTCTGCCAACATTTGTACCATACCCTGCAAGGGACTTGAATGGGAACTGTTTCAGCACTTTCATTCTCAAAGGAAAGGTTTTTATTAACTAAAAAGAAATCACTGGTGGGAATTTACCTAGGCCGAGTATTTCTTTCATAATACTGAATCTAATGAAAGGAGGAAAATAGAACAGTGTATGGTCTTTGTAACTAACTTCCCTCTAAAGCCTATGTGCTCTAAAAGGAAGTATCATTTGTGCTACTTGCTTAGAGTCTTTACAATTATTTATTTATTGCAAATCTATTAGGTATATACTAAGCTTATCATCTGTGTAGGTTATGGGAAACTGTGAAGAAAGCAACCAAAATTTCTACAGTCAGTAATTTAAATACTTTTCCTTTGAACTGGATACTGTGCTCTTTTTCATATAAATATCAAAAATCTATTTTTTATAATTTTTTAAAAGCTGGGTGATTATGTGCTCAGATGAGAATTTTTACTAATACAGAAATAAGGCCTGATAGGCTCAGAGAATGAGGCCTTTGGGAAAGTGTAGATGTGGGAGCCAGTATCCAAGTTGTAAAAGGAGACAAGTCCGGCCTCATAGTCCAGAAAAATGCTTAAAAAGCCAACATTCTGTAGAGAAAGAGGAGTTAGGGGAGATGTAAGGGCTACATAATCATTAACTTTGCATTGTCTGATGGCCCAGAATCCAGACTCAGGGTCCCGTCTCATGGCATTGTCTCTTGGCACATTTTCCAGACAAACTCCTACATCCCACTCAGATCCTTGTAAAAACAATACTCTAAAGAAATGTTTTCCTGAGGAGAAGGACTCACATCCCAGGACACAAGGTAAGTCTTTAAACCTAGCAGGAGTCTCAGGCTTCACTTGGGGGGATCCTCGAGTCACCTGTTTTCTTTTCTCATTCACAAGTAGCTCTTTGTGTGCTGTATCTGGATCGAGAGTAACAACATCTGGGAAAAAATCAAAAAGAAATAATGAATTATTAAACAAGAGAAAACAAAATGACTTGGTTACTTCATACATAGTACTCAGTATATTTCAAATATTATCAGCCCATAGTCGGAAAAAAAAAACTTTTTCTGTTAATCTTTATTATCATTTTATCAAAATTTGTTATAAAAAGTAAAAATATAGGAATATAGGGGCTGGAGCAATAGCACAGCGGATAGGGTGTTTGCCTTGCACATGGCCAACCTGGGTTTGATTCCCAGCATCCCACATGGTCCCCTGAGCACTGCCAGGAGTAATTCCTGAGTGCACAGCCAGGAGTAAACCCTGTGAATCGCCAAGAGTTAAATAGAAATCATATCGGTCACAAAGGATGGTGGGGAAGATTGAAGAGCTAATATATGATTAATACTGGCCAGGACTGTCATTATGTGGCATTGTAAAATATCTGATAATAGTCGCAATATACTACTAAGGCTCTAAGCACTCTCCTGTTCTTATTCAACATTATTTCTATCTTTCTCACATTAATATAAGCCAAAGGCCAGATGAAAATATTTGTTCACTTCTCTCTCTCAGGTCACACTCTGTCCTGTTCTTCAGATCCCCCTCCTGTATTTGAGGCCCAGCACGGTGAAGACTCTCTGACTACCTCTGCTCTGGGTGCTTCAGTGCTCCTTAATCATTGTTCAAATCTATTCTAGGACAGTGCTACAGTGCTGTTCTTTGTTTAACTCACTTATTAAACTCCCCTCTATGAGTTCTAAACAGGGGCTGATTGAACACATTTGGCATTTTATTTATAAAACTTTGAATTGTTAAAAAACAGATGTTGGAGGCATAAGGACTTAATCCAGAGCCTAGCAGCTTGCTGCAGAATTGTGAATGGACTATGCATTAAATTGCCATGCCCCCCTGGGAGAGACAGGGCTTCTGTCTCTTCCGTCTTTTTCCCTCCTGGCAGCATGGTGGCCACCACCTCAGAGCTTATTGGAAAGCCAGGCATGAGCCGGTTGTGACAGGGCAACTGCATCCTCATGGGAAGGAGGGGTGAAACTGGCTCGTCCTTCACGCCCGACCGAAGTCAGGAGTTGTCCCCATGAGCGGCTCTCCAGCACAGTCATGGCACCAGACACACAGAAACCGATCTTTTAATTATCCGGCTCTTGGCAGAAATCCCTCCAGACTTAATTAATAAAGTATCAGAAATCCAAAATCATATTGTTTTCATAACTAGCAATAGAAAACAAATTATTTCACAATGCCTTTTCAGCAGTTCTGATTGTTGGGGTGGGGGTGAATTATAAACAATAATGGTGAATCTTTTGTCGAAATAATGAATGTAGTCAAAGTAGAGAGAGAGATAAGTAGAAATCTCACAGTTATCGGGAGGGGTGGGAGGGGGGTATATTGAGGTTCTTGGTGGTGAGAAATAATTACTGGTGAAGGGAAAGGTGTATGATCATTGTATGACCGAGACTTAAGCTTGAAAGCTTTGTAACTTTTCTCCGGTGATTCAATAAATAAAAATTTTTTAAAAAGAAAGTAGGTAAAGGGGGAAAAATATCCAATGGTTTCTACATTTTGATATTTTCCATAAGTCTAGAATTAAGGGAAGTAAGTTCTTTTTCTTCTCAGATCAAATATAACTTTTGACCACTAGTCTCTTTGATTGTGGTCTCATATTTTAAACTTGTTATAAAATCTGATGTTTTATTTTTCTGTTGGCATTAAAATGAAGAGGTATGGTTCATAAGAAAAGATAAAGGAGTGAAAAACAGCATTTTGCTGCGGTTCTGTTACACATTTTCACCCAACAAGTGAGCTATAGAAAATGGTTTTGATTGCAATGGTAAGAGGGAAAAAATGAGCGGGAAAAGAAACAGAGAAAAGTGCCTAAAAAGAGCTGTGATGAATAGCAGTAATATAAGGAGAGTCTAAAAAAATACTTTTTAGCCTTTGAGAGCAGGGCTGAGAAAGGATTTTATAGCCATGGCTATAAAATTGGAGTGTATACATAAGGAAGCCATGACTTGATTACCAAATTTATTGAAGTTTGTCAGAAGTCAGTTTCAATTTATTAAAAAAGAATGTGTATTTTTAGTTTTATAATGTGTTTTGCACTATAAGGCAGCCCCTCTCCATCTACTCTACTTGAAATATCTCTTACCCTCTACACAGAAGTCAGGTGATAATTAAACCAATTGCTTTAGTCCCTAAAGAACTACGATCCTGACACTGGCTTTTCAATTCACCTAGAAAATACTAACCCACTGTTAAAATCCTCTCTTATAACATGTGGTGGTGGAAAATGGGCACTGGTGGAGGGATGGGTATTCGATCATTGTATAACTGAAACCCAAGCACAAAAATTTGTAAGTCTACAACTGTACCTTTTATTAGTGTTTCACTAATAAAAATTTAAGAAAAAAATAAAATAAAAAATAAAAAGAAATGCATATTTAAAAATAGCTAATGCTCTTATTAAATAAAAAAACTATAAAACTGAAAATGCTTAGATCTAAAATTTAAGTTTGTTGGTTCATCGATTTGCTCGAGCAAGTCCAGTAATGTCTCCATCGTGAGACTTGTTGTTACTGTATTTGGCATATTGAATACATCACGGGGAGCTTGCCAGGCTTTGCCGCGCAGGGGAGATACTCTCGGTAGCTTGCCGGGCTCTCTGAAAGGGGTGGAGGAATCGAACCTGGCTCAGCTGGGCTGAGCTGCATGCAAGGCAAATGCCCTACCACTGTGCTATCGCTCCAGCCCAAGTTTGTTGGTAATCCTAATGATAAATTCTGAAGTCAATACAGAAAAATAGGGGACAGGAATTTATGTAATGCATCACTTTTTCACTGTGATATTTCATGATGTAATAAAGAATTTTTTACTGTTAAAAAAAAACAGACCTTGTTTAAAAACCCATCAAAAATTGGGCGATGAAAAAAAATGGGGGAAAGAAACAGGGGGTAGAATAGAAGATGTACAGACACTTCCTCAAAGAAGACACGCAGATGAACAATAAGGATATGAAAAATTTTCTCCATTACCCCGTGATGTATTCGATATGCCAAACACAGTAACAACAAGTCTCACGATGGAGCAAATCGATGAATAACGGGAGGACTGTGACCGTTACCGTGACTTACTATCAGGAAAATTCCTAACAAAATAGCAAAGAGTAATCATCTCACACCAGGGAGATTGGGACACACCAAAAAGACCTAATCAACCAATATTGGCCAGATATGGGAAGAGGAAACTTCATCCACTGTTGGTGGGTAGCTACCTTGCTTCAACCGTTTTGGAAAATGGAGAAATATCAAAAAAGAAGAATTGAGCTTCCATATGACACAGTCATTACACTTCTGGACACCTAAGCCAAAGGTCCACAAATGCTATTGAAAATACATTTTCACTCCTATGTTGATTTCAGCACTAGTAACAATACTGAACATTTGGAAACCACCCAAGTTTCTAAGAACAGATAACTGAATAAAGAGAGTAGTGTGTATATATACAACAGAATGCGACTCAGCTGTAAGATTTAATTATGCAGTTTTTATAGAGAGAAGTCAGCCAGAAGGTGAAAGACAAACATATAATAATTCCTCTCATATATGGAATATAAAGAAACTTTGTAAATCAATATCAAATGATCAAAAACAACAGAATCTGTGAACTGAACTACATAACCACGCTTACCATGGTGGAGATATGAATAGATGGGGTTTGAGGAATGTACCTTTGTAAAGCAGAGAATGGTGGAGGGAAATGGATATTTTGGTGGGGTGTGTGGAGTTGAAATGCAATCATATAATTGATAGCAAAAAAACAAAAGACAATGAGTAAAATAAAATCTAAAAAATAAGTAAAACGCACAGAACAAATATGTATGCATAATAGTTGAAGTACCACATCAAATATGTTCCTTCTATATATATTATATGAATATTTATAATTGGGGCTGAAGTGATAGTACTGTGGGTAGGATGTTTTTGCAAGTGGTGACCTGGGTTTAATCTCTGGCCACTCAAAAGGTTGCCTGAGTACATTCAGGCCTGATCCTGCGAGCTTAGAGTCAGAAGTGAAAAAATTATTTTTTTAGAAAATAAAAAATTAGTATGTAAAACAAAATGTTAATACATAATGAAAATACTGGAATGGTTTCATTTCAGCTAGAGAAATGGTGCAATATTGTCATCAACAGATCTGATTGAACACTGGCCAGAGTAATGGAGAAAAATAGTATCTGCATAGATACACATAACTGGTTGCAACTCACTTTGTAGATGAGGAGGTGTGAATTATATGAAGCTTTTTCCCTCACCCAAATAGCAACTGCCTCTATCATCACCCCAGTTATGGCATAATTCTCTCATAGTATAGAAGCACTAACTTTTCTTGTGTGAAACATGTGCAGCAAAGCATGTCTTTGAATTCAGAATATTTTTCTGGTCATAAATGCAAAGCAATGTCTCTATAAACTAAGCATGTGGAGACAGCCAGTGCTAAGTCAGTGCTCATCCCATAAGCACTCCTACAACTAAACCAAGTGGAATAAATAAAGACAAAATAGTGTCCACAGAGCAATTTAGTTTTCATCATTGAGGCTGGCAGACTAACAGTGACTGTAATAATCCTCTCTCTATTGCCAACTTTGTATAAGTACTTTCAGGACCAGAGAACAATCATGTTACATTGGATTTATACAGTAAAAATAATGGGGTTTCATGTCTATTATTATAATTTATTATGGCAATGTTAATAATGGCATCAGATTTGTCCAAGAGATACTTGGTTTTGATATCACTTTGAAGAAATAATTGATCATGTCGGGAAACTTATGCATAAGGACTTGAGAGTTTTCTTCAGGAAACACAAGGAGGCATCCAGTCTACAACCAGCAGAGCAAGTGTTCCTCGTCCTACATGATCAAGAAGTGAATTCTGCCAACAACCAGAAAGATCTTGGAAGTACATTGTGTTAGCTTCAAGTGAAAACACAAACTAGCAATCGTGTTTGTTGAAGCGTTGTTAGACTTCATTTTGAGGATACTTCTGAGCTGTAGTCAGTTTACTGAAATTTGTGAGTTCTTGTGATCTTATTTGGGTGGTGGTGGTGGAGGCAGGGGCTTGAGGCTACACTTGATGGTGCTCTAGACTTACTCCTAACTCAGCACTTAGTGACTATTCCTAACAGAACTCAGGGACCAAATCAGATGCCAGGGATCTTTCCCGGGTTGGCTGAATGCAAGGGAAACACTTAATGTGAGATACTATGCTAAGAATAAACATTGCATTATTTTTAATCACTAGATATTCATTAAATTAAAACTGAAATTTTTCAGAGTGGTTGTTATTTTATAGCCTAACAAATCATAAAAATATGTTTTCAATGTTTTCTTAAGAGAATGCAATTCCTGTTCTCTATGCTTTGTGTAATTTATGAGTTTTTAAAATTTGTCACAGTGAACTGAGTATGAAGTGTTATTATTTTGTAGTTTATATAGGACAGATATAGAGGTTATTAAACTCAGGGACGTCACTAGTGAACTGGAGAGAAGGAGCTGAAAATTCATCAAGAAAAACAGTATTCCAACTAGAATCTGTCAAGGAAAGAGCAGTAAAATATGTTGCCCCGTATTCCTCCCACCTTTATTATTTAGAGAATTTTAGTTGTCACATACCATTATCAGTCTCAAACAATTTTATCAATTGACTTAAAATGCTATCAATATCAGGCACAACATGAATATCCAATGAGACATCCTCTGGTGCATTTAACTTCATAGCAGAAGTCCTGGATAAGAAGAATCCATAAATTTTATCAGAACAATATTCTGTTGGACTCCATAGAACTGCTATCCCTGTGTCACTGAATTCAAAGAGCACTCACCTATCCAAAGTGTCTGTCACATCCTATAGAGCAAAAAAGATAGACGTTGGAATGGAAATATTAGCATTTCATAGAACTTTGGAGGGTGATTACTCCTTTATAATTATGTCAAGGAATAAATGCAATATTTCTACTCCTATGAATTAATAAATTTCCAGGGAATGATTCTGATCCCAATTTTCTACCACAACATTCTTCAATGTATTCACATCTGTGGTTCAACATGTGTCTGCATATTATTCCAGAGATTAGCAGTTACAACCAGTGCAACAGACATTGATATTCAACCTCTCTACCCTTGTTTAGCACATGCACAATGTTTGAGAGAAACACTGGCCTGGTACAATAACATGACAATATCTGATCAACCACAGAGCATGCTTTCTTACTTTGGGAACATACGGAGTTTTTACTTCTACCACTACCAATCTGTGAGCTGTTTGGAGGAAGATCAGCAATTGTCTCAAACTTGCTCATTAAGCACTGTTTTCATTGAGTGACCAAATTTCTTCTGAAAAGTTTATAGTGGACATTGTTTGACACAAGGTCCTTACAGATAAATTCACATAGAGCTCTGGAGACTGACACATTAAGGTGGTGGCAGCAGGTTTGCATTGAGTTGGAAGGTCTTGGTTTGACAGTGCAATCCTTAATGAAAATAGAATGAGGAACTCCAGGTATTTATCACAGTGTAGAAGATCTTTGCTATAGCTAAAATCAAGCCTTATAATATTCATTTGAACAAGATACAGGAGTAAGTCAAGGGGAAAGTTTATCAATCATTTTCGTACCACTTTTTAGACCTGAAGAGTCAACAGCAATAACTTTGAGGCGATTATTTGACACTAGAAACTCTGAAAATTATACTGACAACAACAGATAACTAACAAAATTCTCCCCTGGTTCCCTAGAACTATCTTACCTATCCAAGGGGCCTACTTACACAGAGATACCCTACAGACCAGTGAAGGACACTAGTATACAGGCATATGCATATAAAAGAAGCATTCATTTAAATTCTGTGTGAATTTTTGAGAAAGGAGGAGGCCAGTCCTCCCATACTCCTCACCATTTCTTCTGAAAGCCCAGGAACTGATGCCTTCATCCATTTCTCTGCGTGCACATTCTTACCTGCAGTAACTCCTGGACTGAGCCCTGACATTTCCTCTGCAGTTCCAGAACATGTTTGTTCAGTTCCTGATTTTGCTTCTCCAGCTGGGTTTTACTGTCCTGCAGTTTCTTCAGAACTTCCTCTTTTTCATTCTCCAGTCTCCATAGATAAGATTTCTCCTCCATGTGTAGAATCATGTGAAAAACCTTAAAATAAGACTCGATGCAATATTTTTTATCCATAATTTCACGCTAGAATGAAGAAAGCATATTCAAGTAACAGGGGAATGTATCTCTTTAGATAAATAAATCATCAAAATACAGTAGTTTTATTCACTTAGAATGATAGTGAACTTTTATAGGAGACAGAAAGTTTAACTCTCAGGGATTTGGGTTTCTCTACATGTTACTTGGATATTGTATCCTCCCATTACCCATGCCTGTTAAATTGAGGGAGGAAGGAATACCCTCTGTGAGTCCAAATTCAAAATTCACAAAAGAGATCAGGCCATCAGTTTGGGAAGAAAACATCAAAAGCCAATGTCCTAATATGAAACTGACACACAATGAAAGTAGACACAAGGGCCCAGAATTTTGCCATGTAGTTGGCAGCCTGTCTCATGAGCTGAGGGAGAAGGCAGCTGGAATAGAGAAGGAGTCAACTAAGACAATGATGGTTGGATGAGTTGTTCGGGATGGGAGATGTGTGCTGAAAGTATTAAAGGACTACACGTGATAACCTTTCAGTATCTATATTGCAAACCAATATGCCCAAAAGTAAGAGAGAGTATGGGAGAAATTGTCCACCATAGGGGCAGAGGTATGGTTAGAAAGGTCGGGGGTATACTGGGGACATTGATGGTGGAGAATGTGCACTGGTGGAGGGATGGGCGTTTGATCATTGTATGACTGAAACTCAAACATGAAGGCTGTAACTGTATCTCACAGTGATTCGATAAAAAATAAATAAAAGCCAATGTCCTGTGAAATTTCAGTACAAGCTTTTGGATTGCATCAATTTTGCCAGAAGAGCACTGAGTTTCTCTCCTTAGCAGTCAGTTCAATCATAGAAATAGATGTTAGTCTGCCTTTGCAGATGTTCTTGCCTTATTTTCTGGTTATTCTCATGAATTTTTTTGAGTCTGAATCCCACCTGAGAGATCCTGTTCCTCAGAATGATGACTTTCATAGATGGAAATTACATGCCAGACACTACATTGTTCTACATTTCTGAGTGGTAGGTCTACAGGAAGTTACTTTGAGATGTTTAAAGCTTGTAAACAAGTCAAGATAAATCTAAGTAAGGACACCACTTCTTCTTTGCCTAACTGATATTGGGACTCCTCAACAATTACTGCTGAAATGTCAAAGGAGCTCAATTCTCATAGTTGTAGCCAATGAGGAGCATTAAAACAAATAATTTATCATTTATCTATTTAGTCTAGATGAATAAGATTAAAGCATCCCTTTTTGCCCAATCATTCTATATGTTTAAGCCTTATGGAAAACATATCTGAGGCCAATAAACTTAAATTCTTACCTGAAATTTTGATATTTGTTTTTTTATGTTCCATTGCCAGTCTTGATTTTGTTCTTCTAGTTTCCTCAAGTATGTCATAGATTTCTGAAAGTTATCCTGAAGGAAAATTGTCTGATGAAGGTTTATGAATAGGCATTTTTTTATTATATATGTCAATTTTTCATTATATATGAACACAGATTTTTGAACATAAAATAATATTGGAAAATTGTATACTCCTTATACTTTCAAGGATACACATGGAGGGATGTGTATGTAGTTAAAAACTTGATCCCCTGAAAGAGAAATATCTCATGGACAGAAGGGTTGGAAGGCAGAGGGAGAAAAACTGGTGACATAGAACATTGGTGGCAGGAAAGGTAAAAGAGTGGAAAGGATGGGTTGTATGGAAGGAATGTTGAATGGCTCAAACCCTATCATGAACAACCCTATAACTGTGTATCTCATGGTACTTCAATATACAAAATAGTTTTAAAAGTTTGACCTCCTGAACAACCTAACCAATTGGTAAGGTTGTTAATGTAGTTTTTCTATTTTAGAAAAAGGTTCATCTGATGAACCATGGCCTAAGGCATACAATGCTACATTCGCCTAGTGAAAAATGTACAAATGACAAGAATATAATAATATATAATAATATTTTCAATAGTACAGTGTTAAATCCAGAAATTAACAGCAGATTATTGATTCCTTAACATTTTTTATGTATTAGTATGTATAAGTAAGAGTAGTCCAAGTGCCACTATGATTTTTTGAAAGAGTCCAGGGACAGATGGAGAGGGGAGAGGTAATACAGGGTTTAAGGTGCTTGCTATGTAAGAGTATACCTGGTCCAACTCTGCCTATGGGTTTCCCAAGCACATCCAGAAATTAACTCTGAGCATAGATCCAGGAGTCATCCCTGAGCACCTCTGGGTTTGGTCATCAAATCCCAACCCCAGTGGAAGAGTCAATGGGACAAACGAATGTCAATGAGACAAAGCACATGATTTTATGAGGATTCTCAGTTTAATCTCCAGAACCATATTTTTTTCTGATGGCCAAAAGATATGATACAAGTATTCCTGAACATGGCCAGGGACCCAGTGGCCCATAGCACTGAAAGGCCCTAGCACGAAATAGTCAGGCCTCTGGGTCTTGGGTCACATGGAATGACCACTGGATCTCAGGAGACTGCCAGTAAAACACTCTTGGTAAAAAAGAAAGAGACAGAGAAGAGCTGTAATATTTAACAAAAAAAAATCATTATGCAAGCAATTTTAAAATATATAGTACAAGAATCAAACTTTTTTATTATGTTTCAAACTACTTTATCCCATTTTAGAAGCACACTATTAAAGTTAATCAACTTTCTATCTTAAAAATACTAATCAGTTATTTTCTTGCTCTATAAAGTCAGTATATTACTTTGTCTGAAATTATAGGTATACCTATCAGTTGTTCAATGCTTTCAAGAGCTTTATGAAATTATTTCAGGAAACACTGTTGTTTGGTCATGGGACAGGATATGAATGCCCATGGAGATTATGACAACACTCTGTCTATATGCATTAATATGGCTCTCTATATGTATATATTAGATGGTCGGCCATTATTAGGCTTATCTAAAGATTAGAGTGAGGGGGTATGGTGCCGCCAGCAGGTCAATCTGTACCTATGAGGCGAGTGCATCAGCAGCCAGATGGCGCCTTCAGAATTCCAGATACCCCAAAATTGCTGCTGTGCCTTTGGCCAGACCCCAAAATCTTGGGGCAAAGTTTACCAAGAAAGTAAACAGCCAAAGGTTAGGTATGTGGGAAACACACCCACAAACCACCTCTGGCTAAGCTATATAATTGGAGGCATGGCCTCTCTGGTTCCTGATTGAACTGCTTAATGGCCATGATCCCTGAGACTAAGAAACAAAACTCGAAACCCAGCGGTTTTTGGCAGAAATGCCTCCGGTCCCTGCAGTAGGTTACCAGTGCTGAGCCAACCCAGGTGGAAATAGGTTTCGTGCCTTGGCCTGTTCCCCCCAATGGCCCAGTGGCCGCCATCCTTCAGAGGCCACTGGACAATAAGGTTTGGGCCCCTAGTGACGAGACACGAAGGGCCTCATGGGATGGGGGTGGAGTCGGTCCTGTCCTCCCCACTCCAGTGGCTTTTGGCAGAATTGCGTCTGGACCCCAATCTGCCTGCTCCCTTTTGGCGGCTCGGTGGCCATCATCCTCCAGAGGCCATTGGACAGTCAAGCTTGGGCTCTCAGTGACAAAACATGTTGGGACTCATGGGATGGGGGGGAGCCGGGCCTGTCCTCCCCACCCCAACGAGACCCCAAGTCATCATCCACGAAGACCTCTCTGTCTCCTGATCAAGCAGCTTAACAGCCTTGATCTCAGAGACTCAGAAACAAATCTTGAAACCCAGCAGCTTTTGGCAGAAATGCATCCGGACCCCGCAGTAGGTTACTGTTGCCAGGCCACCCCACAGGGAAAAGGGTGTTGTCCCTCCGCCTGCTCCCCTTGGTGGTTCGGTGGCCATCATCCTCCAGAGGCCATTGGACAGGACTGGTCTGGACCCGCAGTGACAAAACTTGTTGAGACTCACGGGATGGGGGTGGAGCCAGGCCTGTCCTCCCCACCCCAACAAGACCCCAAGTCATCACCCACAAACGGCCTCTCTGGCTCCTGATCAAGCTGCTCAATGGCCGTGATCCCAGAGACTCAGGAGCAAATCTCAAAACCCAGTGGCTTTTGGCAGAAATCCCTCCAGATTTAAGTGTTAAAATTTCAGAATTTCAAAATTACGTGGCCCTACTGCAGCCACACGACATCATATGTCATTCATAACCAGCAATAGAATACAAATCGTCTATTGTTGCCTTTTCAGAAGATATGAGTGTTAGGGTAAAATCTCAAATAATAATGGTGGGTCTGGTGTTGAAATATTGAATGTGATCAAAGTAGAGAGAGAGTAATGTGGAAATCGTCTGCCCCACAGGTAGAGGGAGAGTGTGGGATGGGGGTATACTGGGGGTTTTGGTGGTGAAGAATGGGCACTGATGAAGGTATGGGTGTTCCATTGTGTGACCGAGACTTAGACCCGAAAGCTTTGTAACTGCTCTCACGGTGAGGGCGTTTGTCTTGTACGCAGCCAACATGGCCGACCTGAGTTCGATTCCTCCACCCCTCTCTGAGAGCCCGGCAAGTTACCAAGAGTATCTTGCCCACACAGCAGGGCCTGGCAAGCTCACCGTGACGTATTTGATATGCCAAACACAGTAACAACAAAAGTCTCCAATGGAGACGTTACTGGGCCCGCTCAAGCAAATCGATGATCAACGGGAGGGCCTTACTTTACTATAAAAAATGAAAAAGAAAAGTAAGGTGGAGTTCATGCACAATTCAATCAGCTAATCAGTGGCTGAATAAATAGCAGTACTCCTACATAAAAAATAAATAAATATTAGAGTGATGAAAAGCTTATTCATCATCCTGGAATTCAGACTAAATTATTTCAGATCCATGGATGCAAAGAGGAACGGGTACTTGGTGAAGCACTCTGGGCAGTACTCACCTTGTAGCCCTGACAGGCAACTGCAGCAAGGACAGTGCTGTGCCCTTTGTGCTGTGGTGTCCGCTCACAACACCAGCAGATGAGCTGACCATCATCTTCACAGAACAGGCTGAGCTTCTCTCCGTGGTCCTCACACAGATGTTCCTGCTCCATCTTCTTAATGGTGTCAATGAGGTTTCCTAGCTGCTTACTGGGACGGATACTCTCCCTTTTAAACTTTGACCTACATACAGGACACTGGAAGTTTCCTTTTGACAGTGACTTCTGTTGCTGGTTCCCAAGATTTTTCATTATGCAGGAATGGCAGTAGATGTGTCCACAGTCTATGATCACTGGCTCAGTCATCAGCTCCAGGCAGATGGGGCAGGTGGCTTCCTCCCTCATGGTCAGAGCTGTGCCTGAGGCCATGGTTTTTCCTGGAAATCTTTAATACTAAAAACAGAGGTAGAGAACAAGCAGATGGGATTTTATTCTAAGTGATGGAAATACAGGTCGCCTGAGCCTGACGGGACTGACACTTTCAGATCAAGCATTGGGAACACAGTAGTACTATCACAAGTGTTGTAGATTAGATTAAATTTCATGTATTTAAATTTAGTGTCTCATTTTAACTAGATGCATTTTATTTCTTAGTTTCTGTACGTGTTGCTGTAACTTGCAGTTCAGAAAGATAAAAGGCCATAACTACAGAAATTATTTCTGGGTCAAATCTGAGAAAAAGAAGCCAGAAATTATTTTTCATACAAATTACAAATGAACAGAAAGAATATTATGAAGGTTTAAGATACTTTACCAATGACCTAACCATCACAAATACATTGTTTCTGATCAATTGCTTGTAACTATAGAAGCAACACTTAGGAATTAGGCCTGTCAATGAAGATTATTCAGTGGATTCATATTTGATCAATGAAAATCCCTCACTGCATTGTATCTACCTCTCCCTCCTTCACTGAACAATATCAGTTCAATGAAGCCCAGAGAGTTTCCTATAGAGTAACACTGAAAACTAAGAGTAAATAATATGTCCATTCTGCCATCCTCCTTGATTTGATGGAAGGAAAATTGATCTAAGTGGAGGAGAATAGGTGCTAGATCAGAGCTTCTAAGCCCCAGAGAAAATGAACCTGCAATTGCAAGACTCCCTAAGAAGAGCTCATACTCAAATGATTTTAGCAATGTATGAGTAAAATGGATGAAAAAAATTTTCCCTGCCAGGAATGATTCCTGAATGAAGAATCAAAAATAAACCCTCTGTCCCAAACAGAAAAATCAAAATGAAAAGGTCAATGGCAATTTAATGAAACCACCAGCAGTTCAAAGTTCTTCCCTTATGATAGTATCTGACAACACGTATCTAGGCCTAAGAAATTCAAGCCAAGACACTGTGAACAATATCCACATATAACCTCTTTTCAAAAGATATCCAGGGCTCTTGCTCCTCTGGAGAAGCTCACAATGTCTTTTGAACACGTTACCCTTTCTTTCTCTTCCCTTATAATGAAAGAAATTTATGTTAAAAGAAACAAAAAATCTTGATATAGCCTCTAACCACTTGTCAATAAAGTTGTCCAATATTACCAAGTGTTTCTCATATCAGAGACAAAAGGATGTTTTACAAGTATAAATCATAAATTTTTATATCACTTCACTAAACAGGCTTTAAAAATGAGCAAAAATGAGCGTAAATGTTTCTCACAGACCTAAGACTAAGTAGTTTTTAAAAATGGGCAAAAAGACTGTATAAATGCTTCACAAAAACACAAGTCCCCAAACATGTTAAAATATCAACATCATTTATTATTACAGAAGTCAAAATTCAAATAGTAATATACCACATAGCCCAGAGAAAAAGGTCTTATTCTCATGCATAATTTAAAAGTTGACAATAGCATATACCCACATTAGTTTTTCTTATCATATTTATTAAATAGTAACATTACAAGCAGCTTTTCTAAAATGCTAGATTACAGCCCTAGATACATATGTTATATTACATATAATTTATTTAAAAAAATATCTTCATGAAATTTAAGATATCCAAGGTTATTTTCAAGACTGTGCCTTCTAGTTGCTAGATGGAGGGATCCCAAGAAGTGCATAGAGTATATCATGCCTTCTAGTTATTCTATTTTTTAATCTCTGTATATGTCTCTTTCTGTCTGTCTGCCTGTCTGTCTGTCTGCCTGTCTGTTTGCCTGTCTGTCTGCCTGTCTCTCTCTCTCTTTCTCTCTGTCTCTGTCTCTCACACATACACACACATACACACACACACACACAACACACACACACACACACACACACACGAGCCTTAGGCTCACTAAGCAAACATTGGCCTTACATTTTCAATCTCTACCCCAAATACTCACATTTTCGTTGTCAGTCTACTCAGTGGCTTCTATTTAATGAGGACTTGACAAGGAAGTTCACTGGATTAAACTCGAGAGTTAAACAGCTATGGGTTAAGATGTGAAGTGAAACTGCTGTGGGATTCAAATTCCTTATTGCCACATGTTTCAGTTCACCTTCTTCTGACTGCTGGGGATTCCATAGGAGAAATGCCTTTACTCCCCAGCAATCAATAAAACCAAGTAATGGGGCGGGAGCCATAGTACAGCTTGTAGGACATTTGCCTTGCAACCAGCCAACCCGGTTTCATCCCTGGCATCTGTTATGGTCTACAGGACTGCCAAGAGTGAATCCTCAGTGTAAAGTCAGGGCAAACCGCTGAGTATCACCAGGTGTGGACAAAAAACAAACAAACAAACAAATCAAGGAACAAAACCTCCAAACTAAGTGACACAGTAAAAACCTAGGACGCTAATCCATGAGTCAGGAAAGTGCCAAGAGCAAGTTTTCTGACTTTCACTTCAGATCTCTCTACATTTGCCCCTGAGTCTCCTAGAAGTTAGTAGCCTTCCTGATCCATGTGAATTTTTCCCCATTGTTAACACGAGTTATTTTCAGCACATATAAAATAAGGTGGGAAATCACATGTAAGATAAGCAGGACTCACAATGACAAGAAGCCCAGCTTCCCTGTTTGTTCTGTGTCTCAGGACGCTTCTGTTGTACTCTGCAGATTCCAATGCTGTAGCAACAGCAGCAGCAGCTTCTGAGACTGCTTGGGAGCCACTAAAGCCTTATCAGTGAATGTTCTCAGCTGGAGCCACAGTACTCCTGTCTATCAGTGCTCACAGAGTCTCAGTGTGGGGAAATTTCCTGTCTCCCTATCTGTGTCCTGAAATGAGCAGGTTGGACTCAAGGACAGCAGTGAGTAATGATAGTTTAGTATACAGAGGCTGCTCTGGAATCGGGGTGCGGCTAAGGAAGGCTAAAGCAATGCAGAGCTGCTGTGGAGGACTCTTACAGGGACAGGGGCACCCGATGTTACTAAGCAACCCTGAACAGTTGCCACAAATCTTGGGTGATTTCTACACAGCTACCACAGATGTTTAGTTTGGAATTCTTTTTTAAATTTTCACTACACACCCATCCTATTACTGCCTTCTTATTTGTGTATCCTATGACCCCATCCTGTGACCCCACCCATGGATTAGTTCATCTATTGACATAAACATCTAATGATATAAACATAATCATTATTGTGTAATTGATGATTCTTTAAAAGTTGTCACAGCTCTCCACTCTGGAAAGAAAGATGGCGGCCCCATGGGATCCTGGTGGAGAGCAGGTCTGAGCCGGGGGTGGGGATGCGATGGATACCTCATGGGACGGGGGGGGGGGCATTCCGGCCCGTCCTTCACGTCCTACCGAGGTCACCAGTTGCCCCCCATGAGCGGCTCTCCGGCACAGCCACGGCCCCAGAAGCACAGAGACCAATCTCTTAATTATCTGACTCTCATTAGAAATACTTGCAGGGTTAATAAATAAAATAGCAGAAATCCAAAACATCATTTAATTCTTGAACCCAGCTGTAGAAAGCAAATCATTTCACAATGCTTTTTCAGCATGGCTGATTTGGGGGGGGGGGTGGAAGTCTAAATAATAACGGTGCAACTTTTATCACAACAATGAAGCTAGTCAAAGTAGACAGAGTGTTAACTAGAATTCATCTACCCCACAGACATTGGGGGGTGGGGGTGGGGGTTTATTGGGGTTCTTCGTGGTGAAAAATAAGTATTCGTAAAGGGAAATGTGATTGATATTTGCATGACTGAGACCTAAACCTGAAAGCTTTGTAACTTTTCCCACAGCGATTTAATAAATAAATTAATTAATTAAAAAAAAAGTTGTCACAGTCCACAGAGTGTGAAGTGTCATTATTTTTTTTCTAAATAGGACATAAATAGAGGTTATTTATATCAGGACATCAGTAGTGAACTGGAGAGAAAGAGCTTGAAGAATCATCTAGAAAACCAATAACTCTAGCTAGAACCTGCCTGAGAAGCACAGTAAACTGTGTTGCCCAATATTCCTCCCACCTGTATTATTTAAGGAATTTTGGATGTCACATGCCATTATCAATCTCAAACATTTTTATCAATTGACATAAAATGCTATCAAAATCAGGCATGGCGTGAATATCTAACAAGACATCCTCTGGTGCATCTAACTTCATAGCAGAAATCCTAGGTAAGAAAGAGCCCCGAAATTTCATCAGAGCAACATTCCATTAGACTCCATATAGCTACTATCCCTCCCTCCAGAATTCAAAGAGCACTCACCTATTCAAAGTGTCCCTCACATCCTATAGAGCAAGAAAAATAGAAATTGGTAAAGAAATATTAACATTTTATAGATCTTTGATGAGTAGCTGTTTCTTTATAATTATATCAAGGAGTAAATTCAATCATTCTATGCCTATGAATTAATAAATTCCAGGGAATGATTCTAATCCAAATTTTCTACCACAGCGCTCATCAAACCTTTCACACTGTGGTCCAACACCTGTCTGCATATCATTCCATAGACCAGCAGTTATGACCACTGCGATAGACCATTGATATTAATCCTCTCTACCCTTGTTTACCTTCACCAGTGCATGCACAAATTTTGAGAGAAAAACTGACCCAGTGTAATACCCTGACAGTATCTAATCAATCTCACAGTATTTTTTCTTATTTTTGAAGCATGAAGAATTACATTGCTACAACCATATAACCTGTGAGCTGTTAGGAGGAAGATCAGAAATTGTCTCAACTTGATCATTAAGGACTTTTTGTGTTCAGTGGCCTAATTTCTTCTGAAGAAGTTATAGTGAACACTTTGTTACAAAGGTCCTTACAGGCAAATTCACATAGAGCCCTGGAGATGGAGTCACTTTAGGTGGTGGCAGCAGGTTTGCTGTACCACCTCCATCCTTTTTGAAAATAGAATAAGGACCTCCAAGCATTTATCACAGTGTGCAATATCTTTATTGTAGCTAAAATCAGGTATCATAATATCTGTTAGAGCAAGGCATAGAAGCAAGTCAAGGGGAAAGGTTATCTATCATTTTGGTGGTCGGTTTTTAGCCCCCAAGAGTCGACAGGATTATCTTTGTGAAGATCATTTGTCACTAGGAATCTCTGCTAATTATACTGAGGCTAACAGATGACAAGAAAAGTTTTCCCATGGTTCCCGAGAACTGCCATATCTATCCAAAGGGCCTCTTTTGTGAATTACACAGAGGCACTCTACAGACTAGTGAAGGACACCCAAGTACAGGCATGTATATCAAAAAGTAAACATTCACTTAATTTCCTCAAACTTGTGTGAGTTTTTTAGAAAGAAGGAATCTGGCCATTTCTCCAAATTCCTCACCAGTTTCTCGAAACCCCCCAGAACTGATGCCTTCATCCATTCCCCCATGTGCACAGTCTCACCTGCAGTAACTTTTGGGCTGAGTCTTGACATTTATTTCCTCTCCATTCCAGGATGTGTTTGTTCAGTTCCTGGTTTTGCTCCTCCAGCTGGGCTTCACTCTCCTGCAGCCTCTTCAGAACTTGTTCTTCTTCATTCTCCAGTCTTCATAGATAAGATTTCTCCTCCATTTCTAGGATCATGTGAACAACCTAAAAACTGTACTCAATGCAACGTTTTTTTTCTTCGCAAGTTTAGACTAGAACAAAAAAAGCATATTCAAGTAACAGGGGAATGTTTATCTTTAAATAAACAGTCAAAGTTTATAAGAAACAGGAAGTTTAACTCTCAGGACTTGGGTTACTCTGGATGTTACTTGGATATTTTAGTCTCCCATTAACCTTGCAGTCAAATGCTCTACCACCTTGCCCATCAACTGGCCCCCTGCGCAGTATAATCCCATCAACAACCAAGACCCAGAGACTATAAAAACCAGCTCCCGGAAGCTCGCTGCCACATTCGCAGCCACACAACATCTTACTATCTCATTCTTACTTTGGACAACCTAGCAGGCTACCGACTGTAACCTGCCCACTCGGCAGAGTCTGGCAAACTCCCTGTGGTGTATCCAATATGCCAAATACCAGTAACAATGATGGGTCTCATTCTCCTAACCCTGAAAGAGCCTTGAATATGGCACTTTTTAAAATCCCAGGGCTAGGACGAAGGAGACATTACTGGTGCCTGCTCGAGGCAGTTAATGAACAACAGTTCAACCAATTAATGAACAACAGGATGATAGTGATCATGATCGTGATTAACTTTGCCTGTTAAATTCAGGTAAGGAATAACAGGTGTGAATCCAAATTTAAAATTCACACAAAGAGATCAAGGCATAGGTTAGGGAAAACAACCTCAAAAGCCAAAGACCTGTGAAATTTGAGTATAAACTTTTGGAGTACATTGATTTTGCCAGAAGAGCACTGAGTTTCTCTCTTGACCACTATGGTTGATCATAGCAGTATGATCAACTCTTCTTTGGCATTGCAGATATTCTTGCCGCATTTTCTGCTCATCCTCATGAATTTTTTGAACATGAAACCCATATGGAGAGATCCTGTTCCTTAGAATGATTACTTTCTGAGCATGGAAGTTACATGCCAGAGCCTGTATTTTGGTAAATTTCTAAATGGTATGTTTAGACCTCAAAACAAAGGTACTTTGAGATGTTGAAAGCTTGCAAACCAGTAAGATGAATCTAAGGACACCATGTCTTCTCCTTGTAACTGATATTTGGACTCTTCAACAATTACTGTTGAAAGGTCAAGGAACGGGCCTTCAATTCTCATATTTTATGTCTAACTAGAAGTACCAAAAGAAGAATTTGGGTTTTTTTTCTTTAATGTAGATTAATGAGATTAAAAATTCCTTTTTTTTTTTTTGCCTAATCCTGCTGGAGCGATAGCAAAGCGGTAGGGCATTTGCCTTACAAGCAGCCAACATGGTCGACCCAAGTTCGATTCCTCTGCCCCTCTCGAAGAGCCCGGCAAGCTACCGAGAGTATCTTGCCCACATGGCAGAGCCTGGCAAGCTACCATGATGTATTCGATATGCCAAACACAGTAACAACAAGTCTCATGATCGAGATGTTACTGGGCCCACTCGAACAAATTGACGAACAACGGGAGACCGTGATTGTGACTGAATTCTGCTATATGTCTGATCCTTAGAGCTAACGTATCTGAGGAAATGAACTCAAATTCTTACCTGGAGTTTTGCTATTTTCTTTCTTATGTTCTCTTGCCATTCGTTATTTTGTTCTTCTAGTTTCCTCAATGTCAAAGTTTCCTGGAACTTGTCCTGGAGGAAAAATTGTTTGATGAAGATTTATTTATTTATTTATTTATTTGCTTTTTTGGGGGGGAGTCACACCTTGCTAATCACAGGGGTAACTCCTAGCTCTGCGCTCAGGAATTACCCCTAGAGGTGCTCAGGGGACCATATGGGATGCTGGGAATCGAACTCGGGTTGGCTACATGCAAGGCAAACACCCTAGCCGCTGTGCTATTGCTCCAGCCCCGAAGATTTATTTATTGAGCAACTTTTTTCATGTATCACAAGGAAGATTAAAAGATTTCCAAACATAAAATAATATTAGAAATGTGTATAGTCCTTATACTTTCAAGGATACGTACTGAGGAATTTGTGTGAAGTGAAAAACTTGATATTATGAGAGAGAAGTGTCTGAAAAAGGGATCTTTCTTGTGGGTAGATGTTTTAGAAGGCATTGAGAGGGAAACTGGTGATATTTGACATTGGAGGAGGGATATGTATACCGGTGAAGGGATGGGTGTTGGAATGTTGTATGACTGAAACCCAGTCATGAACAACTCTGTAACTGTGTATCTCATGGTGCTTCAATAAACAAACTTTTTAAACATTTTTGATCTCCTGAACAACCTGAAACATTGGTAAGGTTTCAATATCATTTTTCTATTTTAGAAACAGGTTCTTCTGATAACCCATGTCCTAAGGTATACAATGCTACATTCACCTAGTGAACACTGTACAAGGTACAAGAAGATAATAGCACTGTAGCACTGTCTTCCCATTGTTCATTAATTTGCTTGAGTGGGCACCAGTAACGTCTCCATTGTAAGATCTCTTGCTACTGTTTTTGGCATATTGAATATAACTCAGGGAGATTGCCAGGCTCTGCCGTGCAAGGCGAGATACTCTCAGTAGCTTGCAGGGCTCTCTGAGAGGGACGGAGGAATCGAACCCAGATAGGCCTCATGAAAGGCCAATGCCCTACCCGCTGTGCTATCGCTCCGGCCTAAGAAAATAATAACGTGTAATAATATTTTCTGTAATAGCACTGTAACACTGTTCTCCCATTGTTCATCAATTTGCTCTAGCAGGCACCAGTTATGTCTCCATTGTGAGACTTGTTGTTACTGCTTTTGGCATATTAAATATGCCACAGGAAAATTGCCAGTCTCTGCCATATGGGCAGGATACTCTCTGTAGCTTGCCAGGCTCTCCGAGAGGGACGTAGGAATTGAACCTGGGTTGGCCGCATGCAAGGCAAACGCGCCCTACCTGCTGTGCTATTGCTCCACCTGACATTTTTTTTTATAATAATGTGTTAAATCCAAAAACCAATAGCAGTTTATTGACCTCTGGTGAGTTTTTATAGATTAGTATGTTTAAGTAAGAATAGACCAACTACCACTAAAGTTTTTCAAAAGAGTTCAGGGACATATCAAGACATAATACAGGTATTATGGTGCTTGCCTTGTTACAGCATACCTGTTCCAATGCTGCCTATCATTCCCCAAGCACAGCAAAAAAATGAACCCTGAGCATTGAGCCCGGGATCAGCCCTGAGCACCTCTGTGTGTGGTCTCTAAATATCAACCCCAGTGGAATGGTCAACAGGACAAATGAATGTCAATGAGACTGTGCACATATTTGATGGGGATTCTCAGTTTGTTCCCCATAACCATATTTTCTCTGAGCGCTAACTGATAGGATACTGATATTCCTAAACATGATCAGATATGGAACCAGTGCCCCATAACAGTGCAGGGCCCTAGCACTGAACAGTCAGGCCTCTGGGTCCTCACCATGCAGTGGCCCCTGGATCACAGAACACAGCTAGGAAAACACTTGAGAAAAAATATGGGGAACAGGGAAGAGCTGTAATAGCTAATCAAAAGACAATTTTAAACTATGTAGTACAATATCAACTTTTTAGTTTTCAGATTACTTTCATTTTAGGAGCACACTTTTAAGTTAACCAACTTTGTATCTTAAAAGTAGTAATCAATTTTCTTCTTGCTCTATAAAGTCACTATATTACTTTGAATATATTGGTATACCTATGAGTTTTTCAGTGCCATTAAGGGCTTTATGAATTTTTTTATTAAACACTTGTTTGGCCATGGGCCAAGTGTCTTACAAATATCACTGTCCATGGAGAGTATGACAACACTCTGTGTATATACATTAATATGCATTTTAATATATATGTACATATTAGATGGGGAGCCTATATAAAGTTTATCTAAAGATTAAGGTGATGAAAGCTTAATCATAATCCTGTGCTTCAGACTAATTTATTTCAGATCCATGGATGCAAAAGCGGAATGGGTACTTGATGAAGAATTCTGGGCAGTACTACTACTCACCCTGTAGCCTTGACAGGCATCTGCAGCAAGGACAGTGGTGTGCCCTTTGTACTGTGGTTTCCGCTCACAACACCAGCAGATGAGCTGACCATCATCTTTACAGAACAGGCTGAGCTTCTCTCCATGTTCCTTACACAAATGTTCCTGCTTCGCCATCTTAATTGTGTCAATGAGGTTCCCTAGCTGCTTACTGGGCCGGATGCTCTCCCTTTGAAACTGTGCCCTACGTACAGGACACTGGAAGTTTTCCCAGAAAGGTGACTTCATTTTCTGTTCTCAAGATTTTCTAATAAGCAAGAACGGCAGTAGATGTATCAACAGTTTTTCACTGGCTCAGTCATCAGCTCTAGGAAGATGAGTCAGGTGGCTTCCTCTCTCATGGTCTTAGTTGTGCCTGAGTACATGGTTTTTCCTAGAAACCATTAATACTGAAAATAGAAGTATAGATTAAGCAGATGGGATTTCTCTCTAACTGATGGAAGTCTGAGTGATATGCTGAGTCTGACTGGACTGACACTTTCAGAGAATGAATGTGTGTGGAATACAGTAGAACTATCCCAAGTGTTTTAGATTAGATGAAATTTTATATATTTAAATTTAGTGTCTCATTGTAACAAGAGCATTTTATTTGTTATGTGCTGTGGGTGTTGGTCTAACTGACAGTTCAGAAAAAGAAAAGACCATAACTACAGCAATTTTTTCTGGATAAAATCTGAGAGAGAGAAGCCAGATGTTATTCATCACACAAATTACAGATGAATAGAAAGAATATTGGGGACTTTTTAAAAATAAGTTACCAATAACCTTGTTAGGTACTCAGACCTAGAGCCAGACTGCAACCATGACAGGCTGCAGCTGACATGTTTTGACTAGGCTTAAGTTTCTGTTTCCCAGAAACTTGAGCTTGCAATTTCTGTTAAACTCCCTGTTGAGGAACTTGCCCAAAGAAGGAACTGCTAGACCATCTGACTGGTCATGAAGAATCACATGTCCATTTAAAACAAAAAACAAACCAAAAAAAAGTAACTGTTATCAAATGCTGACTGTTTTCCTTTATTTCCTTTTCCTTATAATGAAATTATTTTATGTTAAACCAAACAACAATATCTTGATAATAGTCTTTAACCACGTGTCAAGAAAGTCTTTCATTATTATGAAGTGGGTCTCATCTCTTAGACAAAGATGTTTGATACACCCAGATCATAAATGCAATATACCACTTCTCTAAAGAGGTTTAAAAAATGAGCAAAATGCCCTTCACGCCCTACCGAAGCTATGAGTTGCCCCCCAAGAGCAGATCTCTGGCACGGCCATGGCACCGGAGACACACAGACCTAATCCAGAGCCCAGCAGCTTGCGGCAGAAATGTAAATGGACTATGCATTAAACTATGGTGCCATGCCCCCCTGGGAGGGAAAGGGTGTCTGTCTCTTTTGCCTTCCCAACCCCCCGCCCCTCCGGCAGCGCTGCGGCTGCAGCCTCAGGGCTCATTAGACAGCCAGGTATGAGCCATTGGTGACAGGGCAACTGCAGCCTCATGGGATGGGGGCAGAACCAGCATATCCTTCACGCCCTATTGAGGCCACGAGTTGCCCCCCACGAACAGCTCTCCAGCACGGTCATGGCACCGGAAGCACACAAACCAATCTCGTAATTATCCAATTCTTAGCAGAAATCCCCCCAGACTTAATTAGTAAAATATTAGAAATCCAAAATCATAATAGCAGCCATGCAACATCATATGGTTTTTAAACCAGCAATATAAAACTAATTATTTCACAATGCCTTTTCAGCAGTTCTGATTGTTGGGGGGGAAATTCCAAACAATAATGGTGCATCTTTTGTTGAAATAATGAATGTAATCAAAGTAGAGAGAGAGTTAAGTAGAAATCATCTGTCTCACAGGTATCGGGAGGGGTGGGAGGAGAGTACATTGGGCTTCTTGGTGGTGAAAAGTAATTACTGGTGAAGGGATGGGTGTTTGATCATTGTATGACCGAGATTTAAACCTGATAGCTTTGTAACTTTTCTCAAGGTGATTCAGTAAATAAAAAAAAAATAAATAAATAATTAGCAAAATATCCGTGTGTTTCTTAAAGACATAAGACTAACAAGTTTTTAAAAATGGGCAAAATGTCTATGTAAATACTTCTCAAACACAATTCACATACATGTGAAAAAAATCAACATTATTTATTATTAGAGAAGTGAAAACTCAAATAATAATATATGATATGCCCCATAGAAAAAGGCCTTAATCTTTTTTAATACTTTCAAGGAGCTGTTCACAGCAACTGATTACATTCAATATTTCAACACCAATGCCACCACCATTACACTTTTTCAACAACTTTATTTTGAGTTCTACCACCAACACCCATGCATGTCCCAAAGGCAGATGCTAAATAATTTATTTTGTATTGCTTGCTATGAATAATTGACTAAGTGTGTAAAAATTGTATCTCATCTTGGAGCCATTAAGCCCCTGTATTAGAGATCATTAAAATGTTGGTAGAGGTTGAGGTTTTTGTGCTATATATAATATATACGTACACATGTACATACATATAAATTTTTATCAACATTGTTTTCCTTCTAATTACACCACACCAAATGTGTTGTACTACTCTTGGTATATCAGTGAAGCTTTATTCTTATGGATAATTTAAGGATGGATAATGACAATTATATACAGACACTAAGTTATACTTAACATATTTATCCACACAGTAGCATCAAAAGCAGATTTTTAAAAAGGTAGACTACAGCCTAGGGATAGAGAAGTTATAATATCAATTATATCACTTGATCACTTGACATCCCGTTACTCATCGATTTGCTCGAGTGGGTGCCAGAAATATCTCCATTCATTCCTGTGATGTGCTAGTGTAGCATAGATTACATATTTAAAAAAATATTTTCAAAAATATGTTCACATCCCAGAATATTATCAAGGTAAGAGGCTGTGCCTTCTTGGTGTTAGATGGAGGGATACCAAAAAGGAACTAGAGTAAATCATGCCTTCTAGTGAGTCTATTTTTTTTCTGTCTCTGTCTCTCTGTATGTCTGCATGCCTTTCTCTCTGTCTCTGTCTCTCTGTCTCTGTCTCTCTGTCTCTCTCTCTCTCTGTCTCTCTCTCTCACACACACACATACACACACACACACACACACACACACACACACACACACACACACACACATATACAATCCTTAGGTCACCCAGCAAACCTTGACTTTGTATTTTCATTTTCTAGTCCCCAAAACTCACATTTTTGTTGCCAGTCACTGCAGTAGCTTCTAGTGACTATGGACCTTCTTTCACCCAAACTGGATTAAACTGGAAAGTGAAACTGTTGTGGGGTTCAAAGTCCTGATTTCCAAAGGTTTCAATTCGCCTTTGTTGGGGCCAGACTGATCCATCAGAATGAGCCCATGTAGACTGTGCCACACACGGGCAGGAACAAGGGCCCCATGAAAATGGGCAAGATTACTCATTACTCATTATTTCAGTAAATAATTTCATAAATTTCAGTATACTGAAGTTGTCAGTCTTCCTCTTCTCACAGATCCCAGGTGCTTACTTAGTTTGTTTTCAGTATGCAGATCCTAGGTACTTAGCTTGTTTGTTTTCTGGTACTTAGCAGAAAAGTTTTGGCTTTGCATGTTCTTCTTGTAACTTCTTCATCTTCCCAGGTTCTTTCCCTAACATTTTTATTGATGACCTCACTGTACTGAGCCATGTAGACTAGAGGTATGAACAATGGGATGGTAATAAAAGGAGATTTCAGGGCGCTCTACCTTGTCACAGAGTCTGACCAAACTTGGACCATCCATGAAATATTTCCTTGTCTCAGCATTTCCGACTGAACAAATATTCATGCAACACACCCTCTGACTGGTGGGGAGCAATGCCTTTACTCCCAAGCAATCAATAATACCAAGTGATGGGACTGGAATCATACTACAGCTTGTAGGGCGTTTGTTTGCCTTGCAACTGGCCAACCCGGGTTTGATCTCTGGCATCTTATTTGGTCCCCGAGGACAGCCAAGAGTGAGTCATTAGTGCAAAGCCGAAAATTCACCCTTAGTACTGCCAGGTGTGGCCCAAAAACCAGCCAAACAAACCAACAAAATACCCAAACCAAGTGATACAGTTAAAACAGGAAGCTATTCTCTGAGCCCAGGAAACCACCAAGAGCCAGTGTTCTGACTTTCACTTCAGATCTTTCTACATTTGCTCCCGAGACTCCTAGGAGTTAGGAGCTTTCCTGGTTCATGTGAATTTTTCCCAATCGTTAGCTTGTGATTTATTTTCAGCATGTATGTGTTATTTATCTTCAACAGAGAATTACTGGTCAAAGGAGAAAAGAAACAGATGACTGCCTGAAAATAAAGCTTTTCTATATTGCAAACCTCTGTTGAAAGATACATTATAAAGGTACACATGCAAGTTTCCATAATAAACAAGAACAGTGACCCGTGGGGCTGTTAGGGAGACTGAGGAATGGGTAGAAGTCAAGTCTGGATTCTAGAGTTGCCTGACTCCCATGGGTGCTCCTGTTGGTAGTTGCTACTGTGAGGGGTGTGGGGGCCTGTCCTGGGCATAAGACCTGCGCAGTAGTTGGGAATCAACACAAAAAATCCTGCAGGTAGAGAAGCTCATTGTGAACCAAAATTGTAAAAATATAAACTATACCGAGCAAAATCTCAAAGAATATCTTTTTTTGAAAAACTGCTTTGACTCTCCTTTTAGATTGTCTCATTTTGTAAGAACAGACCTGCAGATGGAGACTGTGAGACTAATTTGGAAGCAATCAGTGTTCATACGCAAATATACATATTAACAGTGTCCACCATCAACAGTCTTAAGGAAAACTCAAAATAAACACAAAAAGAGATGCTATTAAACATCCAATGGAAGTTTTCTTTCAAGAAATAACAGTGGGAAAAATTAGAACCGCACATGTTGCTGTGGCTATGTAAAACGCTGCAGCATGTGTGTGTGTGTGTGTGTGTGTGTGTGTGTGTGTGTGTGTCTGTGTGTGTCTATGTGTATCTGGGCAGATGCAATGATGATCAGAGTTGT